AGCCGCCCCAAAGAAACCCCAACTTTAGTAAAGCCTGCCTGAAGACACGTTGCCTACTTCCCTTCCAAGTACAGGGTCCCCAAACTCCTTCCAGAAGGGAGTTCTGGCGCCCCGGTGGGCGGGCCAGGCTGGGTCCCCTGCCTTCCTTTGGGGTTCATTTCTGCCCCGACTCCCCGGGGGCTCGCTTCTGTCCACAGGGGCTCTCGTCTGTCCTGGAAGGCAGCGTTTCCCAGCACTTGAACTTTGAGGGGAGAACCTGGAACCCAGGGAGCATGTTTGTGGGAGGGCCCCAGTCTGGGCCCCCCACCGCCCACTTAGAATGCTGGGCACCAGGCACCCTCAGGGAGGGAAGAGAGGGAAGACAGTGAGCCGGGCCAGGGCAGGGCCCTCTGCGTCTCTCCCTTGTTGGCTCCCCCTCCGGCAGCCACTGACGCAGCTGTGCCCCTCCAGGTGACCATGGCTGACCGAGCGGCCGCTGAGAGGGCTTGCAAAGACCCCAACCCCATCATCGATGGCCGCAAGGCCAACGTGAACCTGGCATATCTGGGAGCCAAGCCTCGGAGCCTCCAGACGGGTGAGAGCTTGTGTTTTCCTCTCTAGCTCTTCTCAGTTTCTATATTGGGCGTCGGTATCTGTGGGGTGGAAAAAGGGCCCCCCCCAGGAGTGGTGGCAGCTATCACAAGCCTGCAGAGCTGGGCCTGCACGGCTCCTCACGCGGGAGCCAGACCCTGTCCCCACAACCTGTGGCCGTGGGGTGGGGAGGGCACGTCACCCTAGTTGTCATCTGTTCTCACAGAAGGGAGGAAGTCGGCCCCCGGGCTGGAGGTGGGGAGGCCGACACCAGAGGCTGCCACCACCTGGGTCTCTTGCCCACTAAAGCCCAGTGCCCTGGGGTCACAGTGGGGTTGGCCTTGGAGGGAGGAAGCTGATAGTCCCTTTTGATGTGAGGCATGTAGCCTGCAGGGCTCTGCCTCCCGGAGTACCCTGCCTACTGCCAGAAGAACATTGACACTTGCGGCCATGGCTTGTGAGGGACCCGCAGCGGGCAGGTCTCTGACTGTCCCCTTCTCCTAGGCTTTGCCATCGGTGTGCAGCAGCTCCACCCTGCCTTCATCCAGCGCTCCTACGGGTGAGTGTACGTCGGATTTGGGTGGAGGTCAGGTGGGCCTGGGCTTCCTGGGTCTGAATGGAGGCGCCGGTTTCCAGACCATGATGTGTTGGAGCTGGGGGAGTGGAGGGAAGGCAGATTGCATTTCTCCACCCCAGCACAGGCCACACTACATAGGGGAGGGGCGTGTGTGCCTTGGCCCCACCAACCTGAGTGTTAACCCGGTGCCCTTCACTAGTTGTGTGGCCTTGGGCAGTTTGCCCAGCTGTCGGTGCCTCAGTTTGAGGGATGGGAGCAGCATGTCCGAGTTCTCCCGGTGACGGGCTTGGGACAGGCCTGGAGCAGGGACGCGCCCCCAAGGTGTTTGCTGATGCTCAAGGGAGCTGGCGCCCTCATCCTACCCCGGTGCCATGCAGGGGTGGAGGGAGGTCACGGCCAGCCAGGGTCGAGGGCTACGAGCACTGCTGCGGGTGAGATGTGGTCAGGCCTGTGCGGGCTGGGCTGGGGCTTTGTGTCTGACTCAGTTTGCAGCGTGTCCCACCCTCCTCCGTCCTAAAAGGCCTCCCGCCTCCTCACCTCCTTTTTCTTTCAACATCTGATAAGCCTGGCAGCTGCTCGGGAAGGACACACACACTTCAGGGACACAAAGGACCTGCCCTGCTGTCTGCCTCCCGGGCTGTGATTGATGTGGGCTGTTTGCCCCATGTTGAAGGAGTGTGGGTGGGGTGAGGGAGGGCGGCTCCGACAAGTGCCCCTCTGAGGACGCGCACTAACCGAGCTCTCAGAGCTCTCAGGTCCGAGTCCTGGCCTCTGGGTTTTTGTGCCTCAAGGTGAGCGTGTGTGTGTGCATATGTGCGTACATGCACCCATGGAGCGACACACGGCCTGAGAAGCCATCTGGCTCACTGGGGCAGCACGGACCGGGGCTCCTGTGGAAGAGGTTTCGGGTCCAACCCCTCCGATGCCCAGGAGAAGTAGTCGTGTGCCCGCTCCATGGATGCCCCTGCCCTGAGTGGTGGCTCCGTGCTGGCTTCCCATGGATGGGTAGATGCGTGATTTTAGCCGTGAGAGGAGCCGCCGGCCACATGAACATGGCCCGTGTACTCCTGGACCGTGCGGGTGGCTGGGCAGCTCAGCTTCCTGCCCGGGCGTCTCTGTGCCCACAGGAGGGCGTGTGGAGGTGGTAGAACTGTGGCCCTGTGCTTCCTTCTGGTGCTGGGATCTGATTCTTAAGTGTCTGCAACTGTCTTAGGTACTGGGGATACCCAGGCTTCATGCCTTCATCACAGGCTCTTCCTCTGGGATTGGGGCCACCTGAGGGAGGCGTCCCCCTTTTCCATGGCCTTGGTTCTGCTCCCAGGTCCACACTAGGTGCCAGGGATGCAGGGAGCAGAACCAAGACGCTGGGGTGGGGATGCCGCCCAGAGACTTGGGCAAGAGCTTCCTGCCAACCATGGACAGGCCTTTCCTGTGCAGTCTGGGCTCCCTCCAGTCCTTCGCAGCTGCTGTTGGGACTCCAGTGACTATCAGTGCTTGGCTTCTGGACCCTGCAGACCTGGGTTCAAATCCTGATTTTGTCACTCACCAGCTGGACCCATTAGGCAAGTGGTGTCCTCCTCCTCGGTTTCCTCATCTGGGAAACGGGAGTGACGCTGAAGACAGCATGTGGCTCGTGGGTGGGGTGCTCCATGCCCCCTCCTTCCGTCCTCACAGCAGACCCCTGAGGTTGGGACTGATGTTATTCTCACTTTATAGATGGGGAAATTGTGGCAAAAAAGGCCAGCAGCCTGTCCAGGGGGATGAGGTCCTAAGTGTCCAGGAGGAGATCTGGACCCAGGCGACCGGTGCTGGAAGCCATGCTCAGCATCACTGTCTTGGTGGGGAGGGCAGGAAGGACCCCACCCTTTCCCTCGGGGTCCCGGAGTCCAAGGAGGCACTCCGTCCAAGGAGCCCAGGCTGATTTTGCTGCTGTGTGCGCCTGACTTCAGGCCACAGTGTTTTGTAACTAAATCCGCTGGCTGGCCATTTAATACCTGTGATGACGAAGAGGCCACAGCTCCATGTGTTGGTTGCCAAGGGTGGACACCCAACCAAGACGGGGTCAGGGGTACCGTACGTCTACTCTTCACTTTCTGTGGGCATTGAGCTGAAGCCTCAGGGTCACGCCCCCTCCTGCCTCGCTGGGCCTTGCTGGGATTGGGGTGGTGTGGGGGCCACTGGCTGTGTGACCCAGCGAGGTGGCAGCTGGGTGCCTGGTCAGCTGTCTGCTCTCAGCTCCTGCCTGGGCCGGCTGCAGAGTTGGACTGTCAGCGTCCCTTTTGTCTCTGTGAACAATCGCCCAGGACTGCCCCGGCCCTGACTCAGCGTCAGTTTTGTCGGCCTCAGGCTGGCAGTGAACTGGCCTGTGCTGGCCGAGGGCGTGGTGGGCGCCGGAGCCCAGGCAGCTGAGAGCTGGTTACTGTTAACCCCTCTTCTGCCCAGCTGGGCTCTGCCTGTACTCTGACCGGGCACTGGCTTTTGGCAGTTCCTAGAGTCCACAGCTCCACTATTAGGGAAGTTGGCCACAGCTCTGCCTGGCTGTCATAAACACCTGCTTTGAACGTTACCAGAGAACTTTGACTTGATGTTATTTGTGTGGTTTCCCTGTCCCTGTTTTCACTTTAAGTCGAACAGGCTCTTTCAGGACCTAACTCAACCTGTACATTTTCGTGGCCTATGTACACATGTGGAGGCCAAGGCCCAGGGCTTGGGGAGTCTTCCTTGGTGGTGGCAAGTGCGCGGTAGTCATGGAAGGACACTATGCGGCCCTGGTCTGTGAACACGTCTCCGCTGGCTCACAGAGTGGGATGGTTGATCGCCCGCAGGCAGGAGGGGCGGGCAAGTGGCCTGGAGAAGCAACGTGTCCAGGCAGACGTTGGTCCTCCTGGAGTCAAGTGTATGTCCACCCCTGGGCTGAAGGCCTGCCCGGAGCCAAGGTTTGTCCCAGGCCTGGCTGTCCGTAAAGCCTCTCCCTGGGTTGTTTTTGAAGGATCAGCTATTTTCTTGGTGCAGGTCACCCTTCCTGTTCTAAGGGGACTTTGCTGTGAGTGTAATGCCTGTCCACTGTCGGCCTTGCTCTGTGCCGGCGTGGGGCCAAGCCCTGGGGGTCTGAGACGCCGGGACAGGGTCACTGCTGCTAGATGTCCGCACACTGTGTGCTGTGCCAGGGGTGGGGGTCTGCCCAGGCTCTCTGACTCTGTGTTGTGGGGACGGAGACAGTGCCACACCCACATGGCCGGCTTGAGGACTGAGTGGGCGCCTGTGTGCGCTGCCCACGGATCAGCCTGGCCATAGGAAGGGACACATGCTGGCCCCGCTGCTGAGTCTGCTGAGCGTCTGCCTGCGTCAACCCCAGGCTTACGGCGAGGGAGACTGGCTTGAGCATAGTGTCTGGGGTGATGGGCCTCCATTGGGGGCTCCGAGGCCTTTGTCCCTTCCACAAAGACCCAGTGCCTCCTGGCCACGTGGCAGCACTTGGATGAATCAGAGCACAAGATGCGAGAGTGTCGACAACCGTGGGACCCTCTCTGGGTGTGTGCATGTTCTGCTGGTGTGTAGTTCCGGGGACCCCTACGTCCTTTGCGTTCCCATGTCCAGGTTGAAACTTACTGCCCTCACCATCACCAGTAGGTGCGTGCCAGGGGCCCGAGCTGAGTGCCGTGGTCCCGAGGGCAAAGGGGGGATGAGGCGGGGGTATGGGAAGAGATCCATCTCCCAAGAGCAGGGAGACCCTTAGGAGCAGCTCCCAGCAGCAGCATCTGTCACCATTCATTGAGTACCTGCTGTATGCCCACCCTGGGCCTGGGATCCTGGGAATAAGACAGACACAGTCCCCAGTCTGGGGGTGCACCCACAGGCTGCAGTGATGATGAGTGCAGTTAAGCGAGAGACGGTCAGGGAGCACTTCCAGGGTGGCTGAGCCGGCCCACACGTGTGATGGCGGGAGACGCATATGTGGTGTAGCATCCATTACAGCACCGTGCAGGAGGCCAGCACGTGCAGTGCGGATAACCAGAGGCTGGGGGCCAGGTCACGGTGCCCACATCAGTGCCAAGTCTTGGTGATGCGCTTGCCTACGGAGATGTGCCCAGGGCCATGGGGCAGGTGCACAGGTCCTCGTGTGCTGTCTGTAACAGAGTGAGACGCGAGAGCCAGGGAGGGGCTTGCAGGTGATGGCAGGGCATGTGCATGCGGGCACATATGTGCGTGTGTGAGTTGAGGAAGGCCCTTCTGAGGCTAGTGAAGAAGCTGCCCCTGTGGACACCTGGCAGCAAGCAGGCGGTCCAGGCCTAGGGCACAGCAGGTGAAGGTGAGCCAGGGGGCCAGCCTGGCGGGCGAGGGTGGACGACACCACGGGGCTGGGCAGAAAGTGAGGACAGAGCCAGACAGCTGGGCTGGAGGGGGCAGCGTGTCCCCCCCCCCACAGCATCACGTTTGCACCCCAGGGCGTCTCTTGGCCCCGCCCACCAGGTTTCCTGTTTGGCGGCTGTCTGGAGTGAGGCGTGGGTGCCCGTGCGCACCTGTTGTTTGTGCTCATCGGCTGTAAGAGAAACCAGCCCTTGGGGCGGCTGCTGTGGCTCCTAGTCCGAGTCCTCTCCTGGAGGCCTTCCCGGCAGAAGGGGCCCCCTCTGGAAGCCTCAGGCCATGGGACCAGGGCCATGTCTCAGGGAGAGGCCCAACCTCGGATAGAGGCTGAGACATGTTAGGCCTGCTTCATTCAGCCTCAGTTTCCCCTCTGCCCCATAGACGTGCTGAGTGCTCTTGGCGTGCTGGGGCATCTGGCCTTCCTCCCACCTCTCCCGTGTGGGTGGAGTGGGGAGCTGGCATTCACTTGGTTAGTTCAGATACTGGCTTTGTGCTGAACCGGAGACACCGTTTGGATGGGCAGCCCCGGTCCCAGCACTGCCGGCAGGAGGGTGGTGGCAGGAGGCAGATGAGAGGGGATGGCATCACGTGTCCGTGCTCCATGAGCAGTTGGGGGC